TTGTTCTTGTGCTTATGTAAACTCAAATTATCCAAAATCTTAGTTTTCCCAAATCTGGCATATACTCTCTACTATTTCCCTTGTTTAGCATGAACCTCCCTTTTCCTGCCACTCACGTAACCCATGGATTATCGGAAATCACCGAGTGTCCTCCATGCAGTTGGTAATTGAAGCAACATTTATTTAAATACATAATGAAGCTCAGAGCTTCATCATAACTCTGTGCTCAAAGGGACTCTTCATGCAAAATGCATTTTTTTTGCTGATTATATTCCTCTGTTGGCAAGAACTTTGCTTCTTCCCCTCACTGAACTTCATACAGTATTTATAGCATCCCCAGAAGGCAAAGGAAGAATCACAACATTCACCCTTACCTGTCTGCTGCCGTTTGTTTGATGGAAGGAGACAGCCTGAGGATGTCAAGAGGCTGGTCTCTCCTTCCCACCTTTATGATCACTGGGTGCTGGTGTGGGGGTCTTTCTTGGACTTGGGGTCCCTACCTCATCTTTAAGAAGGTGATACAAGGTTAGTGGTTGGAACAGCTTTTTCTAGGAGCTGGAACTTAAATCCTGGAGAGGCCATCCCGGGACACATTACATCAAGTTGGTGGTATGCTGTGATCTGCTGAACTGCTAGGTCTGTGAACAGTCATAAAATATTTCAAGACTTTTCCCTACTTAACTAGCTGCTGAGAGCAGTCCGCACTGTGTTCCCTCCCTCTTGTCAACACAAAGCTGCTTGGGTGTCACTGCAGAAGGACAGACTTTGCAGAAAAGCTCATTTGCTACATTGTGCTTCCTAGGAATTGATTTGCTTAATGATAGAGAATGGCAGGGACCGCTGTTTTATTTAGACAGGACAGCGGGAGCAAAAATTCTCTCTAATGGAACTGCCTTCAGCCACTGACAGGTTTTAAGAGAGTTTGCAGGGCTGGGGCTAACTTAATGGTTAAAAGGGCTGGTGGCTACATTTTTCATGAAGCTGTCATCAGACATTTTACAGTGTATGTTTCTCTACCTTTTAGGACCTGGTGTACTTCCCCTCTTCTTTTTATTATGTTTCATTTTTCAAACTTTATTCTTTTTTTTCCTTTAATCATAGTACAATACACTTACCATAAAATTATCAGCTCTGTTGAAGGGCACCGATCAGTGGCATAAGGTGCGCTCACACTGAAGCACAGCCATTGCCACCGTCCAGTTCGTTTGCATCTTGCAAGGCTGGATCTCTGTAACACAACTCTCCATTCCTCCTACCCCGGCCCCCGGTAACCACCATAGTCCTTTCTTTTCAGTAGATAAGTTTGAGGATATCTTCTTGCCAGAGTTAAATACACAGCTTTCCAAGGATGTTTAACTTTGACTGGTATGACCTCTTTTCATTTCGCCTTCTCAAATGGGAGACGAGTGTGACCCCTCTGATGTCAGAATAGACCGTGTTGCTCTTAGCTGAGTTCAACTGAGATCCTCTTTAGAGGGAGACAGAAGGAGAACCCCTTTCATTAAGTAAAGAGAGCAAATGTCTGTTGTTCTGTCAAACCCATCAGAGTGTGGCCCTTCTGGGCGTTTGAAAGAGCATAATATAGACTCCTTTATTTTCAAAGCATCACCTGTTTGGAGATGGGAGTCTTGCTTGGGTAGAATTTCGGTTAGGATGGGTTAGATCATGCTGTACTTAGGAGCAACCCTCAAAGCTCAGTGGCTTAAGGTACCTTCTCATTCTTGCCCTGTATCTGATGGAGGCTGACTGTGAGGTCCTTACTCATCTGGACTCCTTGGGAGCCAGCCAGCCAGATCTTCCCAGACATACACTTTTAGGACTACAGGACAAGGGTGGGGTGAGCCAGACTTTTGGTGAGTAGTAACACATGTTGCTTCCATTTGCATTTCATGGGTCCAAGTCAAGTGACATGGCCATGCCTAGCTTTAAAGGGGGCAAGAAAGCCCCCTCCTCTCACATTGCCAGAATGGGAAAAGCTCAAAATACCTAGTAGGCTACATGATGACCCTGCCCCTAGACATTTAGAGCAACTTCAGGACTCAGAGGTCAGGATTGGTGTGCATTATTAGAAAAGAACCAAAAAACAAAAAAATATTTGCAAAATACAGAGTTGGTCAAGTGTGATATTTATCATAAATGGCTGTATCTACCCTAATTTTTCCAGGCTTTTAGTTCTTCATCTATAAATTGGTCACCTGGGTCTCTTCCAGATGAGTATTTCTATTTCAAATTTTAACTCTGTACCATGTATTTGGTAGAACTTGTCATCAAGAGCTTAAGTTCTTCCCATTCATTATTCAGGTGTGATGTCTGGCTGCAGATGTTTCCTTACTCCGTAAGTCGAGGGATGGGGGATCTAACTAAGGCAAAGATGGGAGAGGGTTACCTGGGAAGGTGGACGTCAACTGCCACCCTCCCTTGAGTATTGAAGCAGGAGATGTGGTTTTTATGCAGGAGACATGGCCTGTCCTGGTGGCACAGCTGTGGTATCTGGGTGCCCTTTTACCATGGGCAAAACACCAGCTCTCTCAGTGTCTAAAAGCTCCTCATTTACACTGAGCTCTGCATATAAAGCAGAAAGCATGTTTTGGGTCAAGACAGCAGCTATTTATCAAGCGGTGCCAGGCACTTTAGAGGACAAAGAAATGATGCTAAAGGGCCAAGCTTTTGAAACTTCCTTTATAGTCTTGTAGGATCAATTTTTAAAGGAAGGAAGAATATAAAAGATAATATTTTTTAGGCTAGGTATACAAAAATTGTACTTGAAATTAGGGTAATGTATTATGGAAGAATTTTGCAGAAAACCTCTATGAAAATATATGAGTATACACACATAAAGGTACACCTGTTGGAGGCAATGGCGACTTCAGCACACCATGTCCTACACTCATGGAAACGTGTATCTGCTTTTGCCTGTGTCTGTACTGTATACAGATAGAATCCTATAGTCCATACTCCAGCATGTCTGGCTTCCTTTTCTCAGTGTTACGTATGTGAGCTTTCTCCTTATACCAGTAGGTGGTTATGGATTTTCATTTTCAGTGCCATGCAGAATTCCATTGTGTGATTGTACCACATTTTCATCTGTTCTGTGGATGGACAACTGGACACTTTCTAGTTTTGCCCTTTATAAATTATTACTGTGCATATTCTGATTGCATTAATTCTTGTTAGCGTGTGAAAATGTTTTTGTTGGGTGTTTACGCCAAGTGTATTTTCTGGGTCACAAGGTGTCCATATATTCAACTGAAGCAGATTACGCCCAACAGTTTTGCAAAGCCCTTGTACCCACTTACTCTGTAACCAGCAGAACATAAGGCTTCTGGTTGCTTCAGATCTTGGCCAATGCAGAAAGATTTTCGTTTTTTCTTGTTTTTTAGAAAATCATCTCCGTCAATTGTTTTTCCATCTGAGCTGTTTCTTCCCCCTAAAACAACAACAAAACAAAAAAAGTGGAGAAAAATAATCCCACTTAACAAAATACCTGCTTCATGCTGAGATGCTAAAAGTTCCTAAGGTCAAACATGGTGCATGGTCCCAGGCAGGAGCAAGCTGGGTAGTTTCATTGTATGTGGGATGGTTTGGACTCTTTTTTTTTCATGTGTCATTTCAAAGTGATATGTAAGGAAAAGGTGTAAGATGATGACCTTAAAGAGAATATAAATATTAAAAACTTGAAGCAAATTTAATAGTTAAAGATGAGACTCGTGTGTAGACATGCGTCCCTGTCCCCACCCCTAGATTTCTCAACCTGAAGGTGTTTACCTGTGGCTCCCCGTGTCTTCATGTCCTCCCACTCTGTCCTCACAAAGTGATTCCATTTGCTTTGTCAGCCCGTTCTTCCGCTCTTCCTTTGTAATTATGTCTAGATGATTGAAATTTCTTTATCTACTGGCGAATCTTTTTTTTTTAAAATTAACATAACCATTGCTGGATTATTTAGGTTTGTCCAATATGAGGTGGCTTTATTGCTAGACACCATTTTAAACATTTGATGCTGTTTCTTTGGTGGAATACAGAATGGCAGAGATTTAGAAATAAAACAGAGAGCTGTAATGATGACTTAACTAAAATTTCTGTTACTTACCAGCTGGTGGGGTCCTGTAAGTAGAATTTTACTTGCAAGCCAACTCTCCAACGAGTTAGTAAACTGAAACAGTATGGTAAAGAAAAAAAAATAATAATAATGTTAGTGGCTACTTAGTACTGCAGTGGCCAAACAGACCTTTATTTAAGTGCGCTAACTTCTGGTGTGCTAACTTTTGAGCAATTATTAAACTTCTGTGCTTAAGGAGATACTTGGAAAGGTCTAGTACATCCTCACAAATATTCATTGATTGTTCCTAAAGAATCATTAAGTTATTATGCATGAGCTGTCTCTCCAAAACTGTTCTGACTTTTGCCCTTCAGATCATCCCTGACTTACACAGATCCCACTTTGAGGTCACCTGGGTATCAACAAACATCTTAATGTTCTTCCTGAATAGCACTGCTGGGTGCTTGTTACTTGGGGATGTCTCCCTAGGGCCCCTTAAGACAGTATTGCTTCTGGTGCCTTGAGCATCTTCCTCAGCCCTGGTTTTATGCTGAACACGGGAGTAGAGCCTTTGAATTTGAGTTACAGTGGTACCATGGGCAGTGATGTCCCCTGACCTCCAACCATCGCTTATAACCATCTGGTCCTCTCTGGAAACTGTTTTTCCCCTGTGGACTCCAAGCTGTGTAGAAGTTGCACAGGCACAAGTGAGTTCCATAAATCCACTGGGTGGGAAGACATGGCAGCTTCATTCAGACTGGCCCTTGGAGAGCGGGGGTGGGGAGGTGTGAACAGAGACTGACTTTCATTGATTCCTTGAAGGAGGAAGACAGGTCTGCCCTCCCTGTGGGGTGTCTAGACCCGACACCTTGAGTCACAAACGCTGCTTCTCTGGATGTGCACTGCTGATTTCTGTTCACTTCCTAAGAGGTGGCTCTTCCTTCCCGCACCCTCCCCCAAACAGACCACCAGCCAGACGGAGCTGGAGAACTGGATCACCGCCATCCACTCTGCCTGCGCAGCCGCGGTCGCCAGGCACCATCACAAAGAGGACACGCTCCGGCTCCTGAAGTCGGAGATCAAAAAACTGGAACAGAAGATTGACATGGATGAAAAGATGAAGAAAATGGGCGAGATGCAGCTGTCTTCCGTCACAGACTCAAAGAAGAAGAAAACTATATTAGATCAGGTAACTGTTCTTCCATGTGTAGACCCAGGCAAACTCGTCAGGTCCTCACAATTTTTTTTTCTTTCTTTCTTTCTTTTTTTTTTTTTTTGCTGCCTCAGAGTCATGAAAAGTCCTGGGTTATCTGCTTGTCAGCCTGTCATCCAGGCTGCTAAATTCTTTATTGTGACTGTCAGTTTTCTCCACCCTTTGTTCACAGTTGATTGTTATGAGCTAAAGGGAACAATATTACATTGAGTGGAAGACAGGAATCTAATAGAGGCACCTCCCAGCTCCCTCCATGGCATGTGATTCTAGGGGTCTGTGTCATTAGAAAGTCTGCAGTTTCCTTCCCCACTTGGAGAGGTTGACTTGGAGCTCAGCTGTGGTGGGGACTAGTTTCTGGCTCCTCAGTAAATGAGAATTCTAAATTTGGAAAGGTAAAGTGTGTTTTCAAAAATGTGTGCAGACATCCCTCATTCTTCACGGGGGCTTGGTTCCAGGATCCCTGGAGATAACCAAGTCTGCAGATGCCCGAGTACCTTATATAACATGGGGTCATATTTGCCTGCAACTGATGTACATCCTCCCTTATAATTTTAAAGCATCACCAGATTAGGATGATACCAAATACAATGTAAATGTTATGAGATAATTATTACATTATGTAGGTAACTGTAACATTCAGTGACTAATGACAAGAAAAAAGTTTGTACATGTTCACTACAGATGCAGTTTTTTTTTTTGATCCATGGATGGTTGATCTTAAAGTTGTGGAGCCCAATGATAAAGAGGGCCACTGTATATAATTGCTATATGGGCATAGGTATTACTTCGTGCTAAAAAGGAAAGTTTTGGTAGAATAAACAAGGATGTTTTTGCCTTATATTCAGGTATTTTAAAATCAGTGATAGCCACCTGGTGGTGCTTTGAAATCTAGTCTTAATGCTTAGGCAATAACCATGGGAATAAGTAATATTTAAGTAGTTGATGACATGAGCCAGCCCATGCCTTTCACATCTCTCTCTTTTCTATTACTGGATGAAACACACACACACACACACACACACACACTAAGATAAAGTATACATAACATAAAATTAACCATTTTTAAGTAAACAGTGGCAGTTAGCACATGCATGATGTTCTTAAACCACTTCCTCTTTCTAGTTCCCAAACATTTTTTTTCACCCCAAAAGGAAACCCCACACCTGAAACTCCCCTCTACCTCTGACATTCTGTAAATGGATTTGCCTATTGGAGATGTTTCATATGAATAGAATTGTAAACTATGTGAATTTTGTATCTGGCTTCTTTTCACTTAGCATAATGTTCTAGAGATTGATTCATATGGTAGTGTACATTAGCATTTAATGCATTTTTTTCCTCAAATATTATTCCATGGTGCATACACAATTTCTTTACCCACCCATCCACTGAAGGACATCTGAACCATTTGCACCTCTTGGCTGTTGTGAATCATGTCACCATGAGCATGTGTGTACATTGGCACTGTACTTGAAGTTGAGGTGAAAAAATAGACATCAAGCATTGTTCATTAACTGGACTGTCATCAAGAGCCTTCACTACCTGCCTGACCCTGTACTTATTCTTGTGTTAGTTTCCTTAAACATTACATCCATAGGCTGGTGGTCTTTTTTTTTTTTTTTTTTTTTTGCCACTTTGAAAAATGAAGGACCATGCAGTGCATGTCCCAGAGTCTGACCTTCTGTTGCATTTCACCTCCTGTCCTCTGCTCAATACCTCCCATCTCCTTCTAAGGCTCTTGGTCTCTTTGCCTCTGACCTTTAATTCACTTCAGTTTTCTTCTCTTGCTCTCATGGAAAGCCACCTCTTGATAAAGCAAGTCCTTACATTTTTACTCCTATCTTGGGTGTGTAGTCTAGATTTTGGAGGTGACAGGACCCCCCCCCCCATGCCCTTAAACATGAGATCTAGGGTCGGAGAATCACAGAGCAGCTAATAATATACTTTCTGGCTTGTCATACTAAAGTTGTGGCTAATAGGTCTTTGCAGAAAAAAAAAACACATTTTAAACCTGAAGGTACCTGACGTTTACCCCTTAGGATTATAATTAGGACTTTTACAACATATAGATTTGTAAGATTTGTATAGAATCAAGTTGTTAATGCTTGTTTCCCCTTTTTCTCACTTTGTCTTTTCCCATATTGTCACTGCTGTAGATCTTTGTTTGGGAGCAAAATCTTGAACAGTTCCAAATGGACCTATTTCGTTTCCGCTGTTATTTAGCTAGCCTCCAAGGTGGGGAGCTGCCAAACCCCAAAAGGCTACTCGCTTTTGCAAGCCGACCAACGAAAGTGGCAATGGGACGCCTTGGAATCTTTTCTGTATCATCTTTTCATGCCCTGGTGAGTAGAAGCTAATAAATTTTTGAAAAATGTTCATCTGGATGCTCAGTCCTAAACAGGACCAGACAGGAGTCTCAAGGGTTTTGCTAGTTTACTGCTATGTGTGGATTTCTGACATGCCCTCCCTTTGCGAACTTTCATTTGAACCTATTCAGAAATTTATTACTTGAGCCTCTCTTGATGCAGCCTAAACTTTTTTTTTTTTTTTTGCGGTGATGGGAATTGATCCAATTGATTAAATTGAAAGATATTTAATTCCCTGTTCCTTTTTTCTTGCCACTTTGCTCATGCTGGGCAAACACTTTTCTGCTGAGCTTCATCCTCAGACCCTGAAAGGGTGCTACCTTAGGAGATGTCCATTGTACTATTTATTGGTTATTTTAGGTAGTATTGGCTTTTGAACCCAAATACGAATTTATTTGAATCTAATAGAAATGCTGAGTGGTGGGCTTTCTTTCATGCATAAAGGCTTTTTCTCTCTCTCTCTTATTCATATTCACATTCATCATATTATTGAACACAGATATCATTGCAATTCTCCATTTATTTTTATCACCCGTGGCCGTAAATACTGGATATGCTGGAGAAAGGCAAAGAACTTCCGTGATGAACTAACTGAACATATTTATTGCTTGAGGAAGGGAACTTTCATGCGACCTCCAGAGCAGCAGATTGTCTAGTTGTGTTGTGTGTTTATAATCTGTAATTTCATGTAGTTGCTAAATTGCAAACAGCTTGATGTACTTTTGGCTCCTTACTGTTGGGGGAAAAAAAATCACTGCAAGTAACATGCTTTTAGCCTATCCAAGTCGACACCCACTTAAAATGTACTGCACCTTCGTACATTTGCTATGGAATTAAATGTTAAGTTTCAGGTTCCAGAAACTGCTTTGGAAAACCTTAGCTGGGCTGCTCTTGTCTTGCCGTGTCAGCTGTACCCTCAATTGAATTCAGAGCTGTAATTCAGTCAGAGGCGTTTGTGTTCTTTATAAATAGATTAGCGTCATCATTCAGATAATTAGGGGTAGATTTACATTTTTAAAGAAGTCTTAAACCAATTTCTGGACTTATTAAAACTGGCATCCTGATTTGTTCTGCTAATTACAGCTCTGTTCTCGGCCTTCCTGCCTACCTCCTCTCTATGTAGCTATTACATCTTTTTTTTTTTTTTTTTAAGCAATAGTGGTACAAGTGCTATAATGAATAAGTCTTGCAAACAGTTCTCAGTTGATGGCATGATCTAGATTGGTTTCTTTGAGTTTGTTCTTCAAAAAAAAGTGGATGAGAATTCTTTTTTACCTCCTTGTCAGAATGCCCTCATCCAGGGAGCGTTTTTTACTGAGAGCTTCTAGTGTCAGAGCGTCTACAAAGCTCCCTCCCTTTTACTGTGGATTGATGAAATTTGGAGAAAATAACTTTACATTCTACCAAAACTCGTATGCTTTAATTATTTTCTTCCAAGCCATTGGAGCTAACCTCTAGGAGATGGACAAAGTGAAAGGCACTGTTTTCCTGCTCTGTAATTTATCTTAAGACCTCGTTTTCTCCACCTTAGGGTTTGTGACCTGTGTGTCCTTTTCTTTGGGTGGCAAGCTATTAAAATTTGGCCTAAGCAGAAGAGAGTGAGTTTTTTTTTTGTCAGTAATGTTAAAGAAAGATATTTAATTCCCTGTTCCTTTTTTCTTGCCACTTGCTCCAGTGTCACAAATCCCGGTGCTTATGTGTCCCTGCCAACTTTCTTTTTCATGAGGAGTTTCACTTGAGACAGATCCAGTTAGGTGGCTCTGTTGGGTCTCTGTTCCTGCTCCCTGCATTAGCTCCTGGGGAGCTTCCCCGGGGAAGGGAATTTTTCAGTCCAGATTTTGGACCCTTATTTCTTCCCTCTACTTTTTGTCATCTGACCCCAGGGATCTCCCTCCCCACTCCACCCCCAGTCAAAACATTCTTCAATTTAGCCTTTGTCCTGAAGTGGTTTTTTTTTTTTTTTTCTCTTTTAAGTTAGGGTGGTGGGAGAAGGGGTGGGAGGGCAACAGGGCCAGGGGAGGGTTTGGAGCTACAATGGAAGCCCCATTCACTGGGACAGCTTCTCTCCAGGCTGAGTGATTTGCTGTAATTAACTGAAGGGTCCCCGCTGTACTCTTTGAAAAAAAGGGTTATCATTGTTCTTGTTTGCACAGATGAGCTGAATGATAGAGTAATCAGGTGCTGGCCACAAAGGGAGCCTTTGTCTGGGCAGATCATTGAGAAACTGTTGAGCTCTGGTCCAGTGTTCTTCTGCCAGCCTTTCTTCTATGTCCCTTTGCTCATTTGTCTTGAGGGTAGTGGTTACTTTTGTGGTGGACAGGGCTCCTGGTAGTCGTGAAGAGTTGCTATAGGAACATTCAAACAGACTAGACTAAATGGTCAGCTGGCCACTCAGAATATCTGTAGGTGTTTTGATTTCTCCTTCATGCTCTTTTTTATTCCCTAAAGTTGGAGAAGTTCGTTTTTAGTGGACATCACCAAGCTGCTTGCCCTTTGGCCTCTACTTGCCTTTGGGCCTCAATTAACATTTGACATTTGCCTGGCACACGTCAGTTACTATCTTTTTGTTGTTGTTGTTGTTGTTGTTGTTGTTACTGGGGATTGAACTCAGAGGTTCTCAACCACTGTGCCACATCCCCAGCCCTTTTTATATTTTTTATTTAGAGACAGGGTTTCACTGAGTTGCTTAGGGCCTTGTTAAATTGCTGAGGCTGGCTTGGAACAACCCTCCTGTCTCAGCCTTCCGAGCGGCTGGGATTCCAGGTGTGCATCACTGCACCTGGCCAGTTAGTGCCTTTATGATGAGGGTTAGAGCATTAAACAGCACAGAGGCCCTCTCCAATTGTTCATATGGGAGAGTTGGATAAGAAGTAAGTGCATGCAGTTATGGATATGTGGAAGTAAACAGCATAACAAATACTCATACAGTCATCCCTCAGTGTCTGCCGAGAAAGGTTCCAGGATCTGGCAATGCCCAAGTTCCTTATAAAAATGGTGTAGTATTTGCGTGTAACCTACCATATACCTGCTACCCATTCTCCCATATACTTTAAATCATCTTTAGATGACTTATAATACCTACTGCAATGTAAATGCTATGTAAATAATTGTCATAATGGATTACTTAGGGAATGATAATGAGGAGGAAAGTCCAGACATAATGTTTAGTGCAGGTGAAATATTTTTCCTGAATAGTTTCTTTCTTTCTCCCCCCACCCCTTTTTAACCCAAGGGCACTTTACCACTGAGCCATGTCCCAGCCCTATTTGTTTCTTTATTTATTTTAAAATTTTGAGACAGGGTCTCACCAAGTTGCTTAGGGTGTTGCTAAGGTGCTGAGGCTGGCTTTGCATTTGCAATCCTCCTGCTTCAACCTCCTGAGTCACTGGAATTACAGGTGTGCGCCACCATGACCTGCATTTCTGAGTATTTTCAATGTGAGGTTGATTGAATTCATGGATACAGGAGGTTGACTCTATAGTACCTATGTGAATCTGAACCTGGATTTTTCCTGTTCATAAGTAGTTACAGAAACACGAGACCAAACGGGATTTTTTTTTTCTCTAGAATTTTAAAATTTAGAACCATTTATTCAGTTTACCTTTGTTTACCTTTAACATGGAATGTGGTGAAAATAGGGAAGAGAACATTTTTCCATATTTAATGGTGGTTTTTGTTTTGCAAGTTTTGTTCCCCAGAACACCTCCAGAATTATCTTAGACTGAGATGAAAGCTCGCATTGGTGTCTTGGCTACCATGTTTCTAATGCCATGATCTGGGCTCTTCACATGCCAACCTGGGGACATACAAGTTCTCTGCACATCTTAATCTTCCTGTTTTCATTTAGGACCAAAAAACATCTCCCTCACACCCAGCAGAGAAGCTGTTTTGACTTGCTTTTAGCACACGTGGGGTCCCCTTGCCCGTCTCCTTGTGGGTTTTCTGTGTCTGAAGACCCTCGGAGGCGTGCCAGGTTGCCAATGTGCTGTCTCATCCCCAGCTGCTGCCAGCTGGCATCTGTCCTGTGGGAGCCACCCCCGTGGGATTGAGACAAGTGGGTTCCAAGATCCCTCCAGCAGGGAAGGACAGGTGGTTTCAATTCAAGTCTGACTCGCTAGACCTCTCGCCACGCCCTTCTTTGAAAGGAGAGCCTGTGGGTGGCCTACTGAGACCTGTTGGCAGAGGTTCCCTGAAGTTCCTGGGACTCTGTTCTCAACCTGTAGGATAAAGGTCAAGCCTGGAGGTTGTGCCTGGAAGGACTTTAGGGCATCTTCAGTGAGATTTCGCTGGATCAGTAATCACAGGGGGAGTTTTAAATTTGGGGTGTTCCCTCCTGAAATGTTTCTCTGGGTGGCTGGTACCTCGCAAATATCTTCTTTAAAAAAAGAAAAGCAATGCCAGTTTTATTTCCTGTTCACCTAAACATAGAACATGTCAGTTCTGGAAATCGGGACTGTGGCTTCACCTTCTTCAATAACACGGCTCCCTTCTTTCTTATTCTGCCATTCTTGAGAAGAGTGGCACCTGACATTCTAGATAACCCCATGGATGACAGACAGCCCCCTTCTCCTGAGGACCATCACTGGAAGCTGCAAAGAGTTTTTCTACTTATGTCCCATTGACTAGGAGCCTAGTCACAAGGCCGTGGCCTGCTCAAGGCAAGCAAGTCAAGTTTGACTTCCTGGTCATGTGCTCAAGTAGATTTGGGGTTCTCTGGCTGAGGGAGAAAAGACAACAGGCACTGGGGGGGGGGGCAAATCTCACTTGCCTAATTTTATATTCTGGGAGAGCTAAAGAGAGGAGATTTAATATGGAATCACAGGAACCAAAGTCTGGTGTCTTTCTGCTAGTTTTGCTGACCTTCAGCACCATTTTTCTTTAGAATGCAGAAATAGCTCTGTAGCATTTGGGGAGACTCTGTAGAAAGCATGGCTCGTTAAACTGGATGCTGTAGTTCAAACCTGTGACCGGAAGGACATCTGTTCTTGGAAACAGCATATATTATTTTATGACTCTTTTATATATCTTTGCTGATGATTTCATAGAGTGATCGGGTCTGCCAACCTTTCATTTCCATTTTGAATCCATGAACAGCCTGAAAGTTCCCATGTGTGTGAGTCGTGGATAGACACAGGGAGGTCATTGCTGACCGCTAAGAGGGAGGAAGGTTTTCGAAGGGCCGGATTAAGTGGGGACCTCAAGGAACCGGTGGCCATCCTGACAGATCTCTTAGGCCACTTGTCCTTGCTCTCATTAGGTGGCAGCCCGTACAGGTGAAACTGGAGTGAGAAGACGTACTCAGGCCATGTCCAGATCTGCTAGCAAGAGAAGGAGCAGGTTTTCTTCTCTGTGGGGTCTGGACACTACCTCCAAAAAGAAGCAGGGACGCCCCAGCATCAATCAGGTAAGTTCCAGGGTGGACGGAAAGGAAACCTGCAGATGGCTTCTGTGGCCACCTTGATGGGGGATGTGTGTTGTTCCTTTATTGACACTGAGTGCTACTTACAACCAACTAGTTGACATGAAGTTAGTCATGGAGACACTTTTAATAGATAATGTACACCCATAACATTGAACTCTGCTATTAGTCTATCTCCCACCTGCGTCCTCTCCAAATCGTGGTTAATTATAGACCTACTGAAAGTGCACAATTCGTCTTGAGTCTTCAGCAAAAAAAGCAGGGCTTGATGAGGAAGCCAAATGGGCATCTAAGGACAAGCTAGTTCAGCTGCCAGTGGTGCAGGCTCCAAGGCCGGCTTCCGTGTGATCGGATTATCTCTTTTTGCCCTTGACTTTCTGGGGTTGACATGGAGTGGGCACTTCTCTGCTTTGGGGAAATGAGGAGCCAGGAATCTGAGAGTGCACACTTACCACTGTGACCCCTCCTACTCAGGAACAAGGGGTGGAAGGGGATCTCAGCCCAACCTGTATGGGTACCGTGTGGGCCCCCTCGTAGCCATACGCTGTGGCCCTGTTCTTCCTCACGGATCTTGTTGCTTTACTAGCCAAGGCCACTTTAGATTTTAAGGACTATAGGACCCTGAGTATTTATAGTCTTTTTGGAAGAAGGAGAACATCTGATTCCTGGAT